CATGCGTGCTTATGGGGGCCTCATGGTGGGCTTCTTGGAGCCTTATGGGGCCATGTCGGGGGCGTTTTGGGGCCCTCTTGGGGGCTTCTGGGGGACTTAAGGGGCCATCTTGGGGGCATGTGGGGTGCCTTTCGGGGATATAATGGTTTCTGGGAGTGGTTTTGCCCCCTGTCCAACGACTTGTGTCGTGCGAAGCCAAAGTGATTTGCTCATAAGATGGTTTTGCAATGTGTCACAAGCTTTATTCATCGCCGATGCGGGGCGTTGTGTTTGAAGCCGGGTTGTTATTGTTCGAGGAACCCCCCTCGCGTGGCGCCGTTGGAATCGTTAATTATCGTTCCAGGGGGTGAGTTAGTGTTAGTCAGGTTTTTCATTCCTCACGGCTGAGGGAAGGTTGAGTGTTTCGCGATTTATGTTTTATTATTCAAGCTTGCTGCGACCAGGGTCCAGCGTCGTATTGCCGGGGGTGATATGGGGGGAAACGATGCCGATATCGCTGCCGCGTCGCCTACAATATGGCTTCCCGGGAATACTAGTTCCCCTTCGCTGCCACGACTGGAGTCGCCTCTGAGTTCTGAGTTATGGTCCGAACGCGCCCCAAGAGAGATTCGATGGATAGCAATATCAGATCGGCACGATTGCGCCCCTTAAGATGTCTCGTCTTGCTTAGCTACCCCCCAGTCGTATCCTACTTCTTCCCCCGAGGTACTTCGCATCCTGGTCCCCTCCATCACCAATTCATCTTTTTGCCGAATCACTAGGCCGCGTTGGGGGGTCCTCCTTCTCCCTCTCACTTCTCTCCTAAACGTGATCAGACTCACTTCTCACTTCTCCTCTCCTCTCCTCCTCACTTCTCCTCCTCCTCCTCCTCCTCTTCTCCTCACTTGTCTCCTCCTCACTTCTCAAAACTACCGCGCGACGTCAGAAACGAAGAAAACACATTCCCCCACCTGCTGCCATTTCGGATCGGGAAAATGTTCAGGATTCCGGTGAAACCCTCCTCTGTTCTTCTTGGCCAGAGTCCTGGCCGAATCCACGATGCCGCCCAAAGTAGCGCTGCCGGATCCGCAGTTCTTGGCCCGGGCGCAGCCGCCGATGAGGCGTCGCTTCAAGAAGATGTTTCGCGATCTCATCTTCTATCCAACTGCCTTCGGCGAATCCCGCCACTGTGCCTGCGCGGCTTTCACGGCCGTCTTCGCGGGGCTTCAGGTGACATCATGGGCCTCCTCAACCGCCAGCCCAGCCCGTCTTGGGGCTGGGATGCCTTGTGGGCTGGAGGTTGAGAAGGTCTAGTCGTTCCCCCCCCCCCAGGGAAATGCAGGACAATTCCAAGACCGCGGTCAGAGGGGCCTAGCAATGCAAATACCTGATATTGCCACGAACCTCGACTTTGGAGGGCTCGCGGGCGTGAGTTGCGAGAAAGCGAAACACAGAGAAAATGGAGCCCATAAGGCATGTCGGAGCGTCTCCGACCACCTTGGCGCTCTCCTGGGCCGTCTTGGGGCTCGCTTGGGGGCCTCTGGGGGCTTCAACTTCCCGGGGCCCTCCCGCGCGCTTCTTGGAGGGGCGGGGGGGGAGGGGGGGGGGAGAGGGGGGGGAAGGGAGGAGGATAGTCAATATGTACAAACAGGACACGTGGAAAATAGTACCACTCTCGTGTCCTGCGAAATCTTTGTCCAAATGAGTCTAAGTTATTATCTAGTGGCCTTAGGTCGTAAGGATCGCAAGCAGGGTCGGCGTCCTTATTGCAAATCATGGGGGTCGGTGGGGTGCACAGGGCCCGGGGCCAGAGTCGGCCCCCATTTACGCTGCCCACGCTTTCGCGATATGATTCTGTTATAGAATGACAAAGTCGACCCCAGGTAAGTTGACGAGGTCGACCCCCGGTAAGTTGAAAAGGTCGACCCCCGGTAAAGTGACAAGGTCGACGCCCGGTAAAGTGATAAGGTCGACCCCTGGTAAGTTGACAAGGTCGGCCCCTGGTAAGTTGACAAGGTCGACCCTTGGTAAGTTGACGAGGTCGACCCCCGGTAAGTTGACAAGGTCGACCCCCGGTAAATTGACAAGGTCGACCCCCGGTAAATTGACAAGGTCGACCCCCGGTAAGTTGACAAGGTCGCGTCATCTTGCAGACCATCTTGGGGTCGTCTCTGCCTTCCTGGAGCGGTTCTGCCAGATGGCGGCCGAAGTAAATCTGCGAAGTTCCGCCGACTTCCGCCGGCGTTGCGCCCGCGGTCCCCCACAGACCCCCCAGGGGAACACGCGACGGGGACCCCTCCGCCAGGTCCGGGAAAAACAAAAACTGCTCATGAGCCCCCAGAGGTAGGCCCAACAGGCCCTTCCTCCTAAAGGAATACCCAGACGGGCCCCCATTCCCCCCGGAGGAAAAGCTCGAGGGCTTGCTCGGGGGGAAACCAAAACACCGTTTGAGCCTTTGGCTGCAATGTCCTACAGGGTCTCGTTCCCGAGGCTCGTTCCCCTGGGGCCCGGGGGCTACGCCCCGGGGTCGTTCCAGCGGGGTCTGCTTCCGCGAGGCGGGGGGGGGGGGCGTTCAGAGGGGCGGGCCCCGCAGGCCGTCGGAGAGAGATCGCTCTGAACATATATGTAACCCAGCACTGTACAGATTCCATATTTGTCCAAGGATGTCTTAGGCGAAATGGCCATGGTGGAAATTCCAAGGAATGGGCCGGAGATTGTGAAATCGCAGTTTTCTGAAAATGTCTCAGGCGAAACGCTAGTTCTTAGCAGAAGGCGTCTTAAGGTGAGGATGTCTCGGCGAAACGCCCATCCTGGAAGGCAACTAGACACCCTGCCATACAGCGCCTGGCATTCTTGTACGCCTCAACGTGCCAGGGGACACGTGGCGGTCAAGAGTCAGGCTGCGCTCTACAAAGCCCGTCTGAAAAAGCTTCGGACAGTGCTGAACCGAATTGACGACGCTGCCGCCGATGCCCTCACCGAAGATGACAGGCTGAGACAAGAACAGAATGATGTGCTTGACTACATTGCGAACCTCCCGTTGCAATGAACTGGGGCCTGGTGTACGATCTCTCCCCTTTTCTCAGCTCTTTCATAATTGCCTTTGCTCTCTCTCCCTCTCTCTCTTTCTCCGGCAGCTGTGCTTACCGTGCTTCGCAGCCCTGCAAAGAGTCGCTGAAACAATGCTACTCCAAGGCTGCCGCCTGCGCCTCCACCCGGGGATTGCCGCAATTCCGCCGATGTTGGGTGTTGCTTTGGGGCCTCTCGTGGAGCCATCCCTGGGCTTTCGTGGGGTGTTCTTTAGGTGTATGTGGTTCTCGGGTACACCCATCCTTGATTCCCTTTCACGTGGCCACTTTGAGCCATATCGGACACCTTATGCGCGTGGCGCACCAATGGTTTCCCGTGGTCTATTGACACTCCATATGAAGTTCCTGTTCTTGGTCGCTGCGTCAAACAGAATGCAAAACGCTTCGCGCATCCCCGCCAGCCCGTCCAGAAATGAGCCCCAGGGGGAGTGGAGGTGATGAGGGAAGCGGGGGAGCACGCAGAAGGACAATAGGCGGGGTAAGCCGCCATATACCCCTAGAGGGGGAGGATGTAGGAGTCGTCGTCGTCGTCGGGGTAGGAGGAGGAAGATGAGGAGCCGGAGGAGGACCAGGAGGAGGACCACGAGGAGGAAGGGGGAGGAATGAGGAGGAGGAAGATGAGGATGAGAAAATGGAGGAGGGCGAGGACGTGGAGGACAAGAAGGAGGAGAAGGAGGAGGAGGAGAAGGAGAAGGACGAGGAGGAGGAGAAGGAGGGGGAGGAGGGAGGAGAAATGACAAAAGGAGGAGGAGGACAATGGCGAGTTTGGGGGCCTCTTGGGCCGTCTTTGGGGCCTCTTGGCGGTCCTGGGAGACTCTTAGTCTTGCGCATCTCAAGGAGCCTCTTGTGGCCTCTTGGGGGTCTCTTGGGGCCTCTTGGGGGTCTCTCGGGTGCCTCCTGGGGGCCTCTTGGGGCCATCTTGGGACCTCTTGGGGCCTCCTGGGCGGTTCTTGGAGCCATCTTGGAAGAGATCTATCAAAGAAATGAGGGGTGGGAATTAGCGTCGCCCCCACACGAGGCCAAAATGGGGCCAACACCTTAGTAACATCAATGGTCGTGGCTTCGTCGCCGAGGCCATCTTGGGCGCTGTGCCGACCAGCGGCCCCCCCCGTCCACGTCCAGGGGAGGGGGCGGGGGGAGGGGTAACCCCATCCCCGACCGAAAGGGAAAAAGGAAGGATGGAGGAGGAAACTCCCTAAACCACCTACGCCCAGAGGGCTGGTGGGACTCGTCGCCCCCCGGGCGCATCATCATCGTCGCCATCATCATCGCCGTCATCGTCACCGCCATCGTAATCGCCATTGCCCTCGTGGCGACGATCTACAACATACATGCGCATCGCCATGCCCATCATCATACTCATAAGCACCATGCGCATCATCACAACCACCACCAACACCATCAACACAACTTCAAAAACATCATCAACACAACAACCTTAATCTGCATCATGCACAACTGCATGCTCGCCACGACGATGGAGCAATGACGACAAACCGCGGATTACGACGGCTGATAGACTGATGGCGGGTGAGAAAAGGAGCTGGACGGGGGGGAAGGTGAGGAGGATGAGGACAATGAAGGAAGGAAAAAAGTAAGGCAAGCTCGAAGCAAACGGACGAAACAAATAAAGAGGAGGAGGAGGAGGAGGAGGAGGAGGGGGGGGAGGAGGAGGAGGAGGAGAAGCATGAGCCAAAATGAAAGTGGTCCGCGCAGAATCAGAAATTCCACGCGCGCAAAAATTCCAGCTGCCAACCGCCAAGTCCATTGCCATTGCCGCAGCTTCCCGGGCTCAAGCCTTCCTGCCGCGCGGGCCACTGCGCGCGCGGGAGACGCGCCCCAGATGCCAGTCGTCAGCGAGATGCGGCATCCCAAGGGCTTCAGCTTCCAGCAGGAGCGCAGGATCGCACTTCTCCGCGAGGCCACCCAGAGCGACAGAGCGACGGCAGCCACATGGAGCGGTCGGAGATCGCGAAGAAGGTGAAGAACCTCTTGGGCAAGAGGCCACGACCACGACGCGTGGCGAACACGCGCCGCCGGGCCGCGGCGCGCCGCGGGCCCCCCAAGCGCGATTACAAAAAGTGCGGCAAGAAGCCGGACAAAGTGACAAAGGAGGTGGGGCGTTTCTTGGTGAAGAAGCTCAAGGGGTTGCGATGCCGCGCCGCATGCGCGTAGACTACGTTGTAATTGCTTTTGGTTTCCGCAATGAAAGTCAAGGTTACGGTGCGCTACGTGCGCAAGGTCCTCTGGAAGAAAGGCTTTCGCTGGTTACCCAAGAGGCAGAAGCGGTTATACTCCAAGGATCAGAGGAAAGCCCGCCTGACGTTTGCGAAGAAGGTCCTGAGGATGACTTCGGCGGAGCTGAACACGGCTTTGGCATGCGCCATGGGCGGCGTCATCCTTGCGATGCCCCCGAAGGACGAGACCGAGCGGATGAACTTCTGCAGGCACGGGGAAGAGTACATGTGGCGAAAGAACACGGAGGCATTCACCCCGAAGCTCTCTGGCGACGACGAGTACGGTGGCCAGGTCCCACTGGCTCGGGCAGTGCCCATGTGGGCCGGCTGCGCCGCGGGCGGGCTGTCCATTGTCGCGTTCCACCCCACGAAGAAGCTCTGCGGCGAGGACTGGGCGAAGATCGTGAACCGGGGCGACCTCGTGAAGGCCGTGAAGTCGGTGAACCCGAAGAGGAAGATGGGCCCGTGGTCCGTCCTCTGCGACAACGAGTCTTTCTCGCGGGCGAAGGTCAGCAACGCCGCGGTGAAGGCGGCGGGGGTTAAGTTGTGGAAGATGCCAGCAAAGTCCCCTGACTTGAACCCCGCAGAGCGGGGCTGGTCTTGGCTGCGTCGGAAGCTGCGGCTCATGGACTTGGACGACGCCGCGAAGAAGCGGCCCGTGCTGGGGACGACGGCGTACAGGGCGCGGGTTCGGAGCGTCGTGAAGAGCAAGGAGGCGCTTTCCGTGGGGGCGGCGCAGGCGAAGCTGGTCAAGCGCGTCTGCAGGGAAGTGGCGCGCAAGAAGGGCGCGGCCGCGGGCTTCTGAGCGGGCCAAGCCCCCGGGCCGTATTGGCGCGTTCACAGGTGGACAACTCATCAGCGTCGGCCGTTTGCCGCGCGGGTGAGCATTCCATCTGCCCTGGCCGTTGGCCGTGCAGGTGAGAAAAGCCCGCGCGGGGGGTACTATAGTTTTGACCATAAGACGTCATGCTGCCGACGCCCCCTGCCCCCCCCGTGGAATCTTAGCGACGTGTGTTGGGTCGGGCGGCGGTTCGGCTCCGATGGGCTCTCACCCTGTAGCAATATAATAATATATATTTAAAACAGGGTGATAATTACTCCGTCCCATTTACAATAGGGCCGGAAAAACACTCCGACTTGAACCCATTCACAGTGCACCACTCCGCTTGGGTCACGTTTGATCGTCCGTGTCATCATCCCCATCGGCCCTGTCCTTATCATGCCAACGCGATGTTTCATTGTATTCATTGTTGCATTGATGCTGTGAGACCCTGGGCATCCTTCTCCAATGCGGTCGCTCTCGGTTCACTGGTTGGCCGCCCCAGAGGGCCCACAAAGGCTCGCGAATCCGCATCAAGGCACCTTTGCATCCTGATCGGTCCTCCGCGGCACGCGTGACCAGCGAGGCAATTCTCATCTTATGGTCAAAAACTTTAGTACCCCCGAAGGGCAAATGGGTTCTCGCCGCCGCCAATCATCATCGTCATCTCCATCATCTTTGCAGCCGCTTTGGCTCAAGACCTTAGCAGGGATTTGCTCTGCTGTTGGTCATGGGGTTGACTGGCGCAGTGCAAGCCCGGAGGGCTTTGGTGAAGTTGCTCCTCACGGTTGCTGCGGCGTACTCGGTTGTGGTTCGCCTCCACAGGGGCTCCCAGGACAGCGAGGTGATCGCAACCTTTCGAAAGGTGCTCCGCAAGGCGCACCCGGACAAGGGCGGGGCAGACGAGCACGCGAAGCAGCTGAACGCCGCGAAGGAGCGTTGGGACCAGGCCAAGAAACCGAGGGGCCGCCCGAAACGCGCAGAGCAGCCCGAGGCGCCTGCAGGGGCGGCCGCTGCTGACGGCGCGCCTGGCGAAACCTTCCAGGATCTGATCGTCCGGGAGGTCTCCAAGAAAGCCTACCGCATCCAGTCCGCGGGCGTGCTGCTCACGTACTTCGGGGTGCAGGGCCTGCCGCAGTGGCGGCAGTTTCTGGCGCACGTGCGCTCGAAGCAGAAGGCTTGGAAGGTGCGGTGCTGGTGCGCGACGCTGGAGCGGACGAAGACGGGGCGTCTGCACGTCCACCTCATGCTGCAGTTCACGCAACCTGTGGACAGGACGAGCCGCAGCTTCGCCTTCAAGGGGTGGGCGGGCCCGAGAGCAGACGCGAACGACTTGCTGGGCGGTGGCTTTTGTCGGAAACGGCTGCAGGACAGCCTCAACAGGGGCATGTTCTATTGCTGGGCAGATAAGTTGGGCGCGGTCAGGGACGAGGAAGGCCGGCAGTGCACGGGCCGCGACTACGAGCCCGCCTGGACGGACGCAGCTTGCACCTACACCGTGAAGAGCCGGTGGGCGCAGGACTTGTGGCAGGCGCACAAGCTCTCGCACGGCACCTACGACGGTTACCTCTACAAGACACGGGGCGGGGTCTTAGCGAAAAAGAGGAACCTTGACGCTTGCAGAGAGCGAGAGGCACGGGACAAGCAGGCAGCGGAGATCGAGGCAAGGACCGAGAGGCTCCGCGGGAACAAGGACCTCTTCCCGGGCTTCCCCACGGTGCCCGACGCTGTGGCGTGGCTAGAGCAGTTCAAGGCCCGTTGCGGCGCGCAAGCCAGACAGTACCACTGCCGCCCGCCCTCTGCCGGCAGCTGCGGCGCCTTCCGGGGCGTCTTCGGCGCGACCGTGGAAGGGGCGGGGGCAAGGGCGCTGTCCAGAGTTTGCGCTGGCGCGCCCACAGGTGGACAACTCACGGTGCCCAGTCTTGGTGGTCCTCGGCAGGTCGCACACAGGGAAGACGGAATGGGCCCAGACCTTGTTCCAGAACCCTTTGGTGGTGAAGGTGGGCAAGCTCGAACATGTCCCAGAGTCGATGAGGGCCTTCGACAGGGAAAAGCACGACGGGCTGGTCCTCGACGACCTGAGGGACATGCAGTTCTTGGTGGACCACCAGGACAAGGTCCAAGGCAAGTACAACTCGCCCGTCGAATTTGCTTCCACTCCGGGCGGCGAGTTGGCTTACTGGAGGGACTTGTTCGCAGTTCCCGTTGTCGCCACCTGCAACTACACCACGAAAAACCTCGGGTTCCTGGACACCGACGACTTCTTGGCGAACCCAGGGAACCGCACGCTGGTGCACTTCCCGCCTAACACGCAGCCAGACCAGCCATCGCCCGCACCTCCACCCGCACCGACCCGGAGCCTTAGGTACCGCACTAAGGCGCCGCCGCACCAGCCGCCAGCCGCGCTTTGACTCTCAGGGGTTGCACGAGAGAAAAGGCTTGCGCACCAGGTCGACTCCTGGATTTCTGGGCACAGTTGTGTGGGGGGGGCTCATGTTCTAGGAGGAACTTTGTTCGTCTGTAGGCACAACCCGCCTGGTGAGAGAGGTACCAGCAAATCGTATTTTCCCGTAGGAAAACGGCAATTCTACGTATGGGGGCTGATGCAGAAGCAGAGTGCGGGCGACGTCCAGTGATACAATTTCCGTGGACTGTGCCGCGCCGTGCCGTGTCGTGCCGTGCAGGTTCGTGCTGCGACGTGCCGTGCCGTGCCGTGCTGCGCCGTGCCGCGCGGCGCCGTGCCGTGCCGTGCCGTGCCGTGCCGTTACGCGCGGCGCCGCGCCGCGCCGCGTGCCGGGCCGCGCTGCGCCGTGCCTTGCGAGTGCCGCGCGGCGTCGCGCCGCGCCGTGCCGCGTCGTGCCGTGCCGCGCAGTGCCGTGCGGCGCCGTGCCGTGCTATGCCATCCCGTGCCGCGCCGCGCCGCGCCGTGCCGTGCGGCGCCGTGCAGTGCTTGGCCTTGCCGCGCCGTGCCGCGCCGCGCCGTGCCGCGCCGCGCCGTGGCGTGCCGCGCAGTGCCGCGCCGTGCCGCGCCGCGGCCCCGCGCGGGGCCGCGCGGCGACGCGTCGCCGCCTCGCGGCCCTCTTCATCTCCATTGCCATTGCCGCAGCTTCCCAGGCTCAAGCCTTCCTGCCGCGTGGGCCACTGCGCGCGCGGGAGACGCGCCCCAGATGCCAGTCGTCAGCGAGATGCGGCATCCCAAGGGCTTCAGCTTCCAGCAGGAGCGCAGGATCGTACTTCTCCGCGAGGCCACCCAGAGCGACAGAGCGACGGCAGCCACATGGAGCGGTCGGAGATCGCGAAGAAGGTGAAGAACCTCTTGGGCAAGAGGCCACGACCACGACACGTGGCGAACACGCACCGCCGGGCCACGGCGCGCCGCGGGCCCCTCAAGTACGATTACAAAAAGTGCGGCAAGAAGCCGGACAAGGTGACAAAGGAGGTGGAGCGTTTCTTGGTGAAGAAGTTGAAGGAGTTGCGATGCCGCACCGCATGCACGTCGACTACGTTGCAATTGCTTTTGGTTTCCGAAATGAAAGTCAAGGTTACGGTGCGCTACGCGCGCAAGGTCCTCTCGAAGAAAGGCTTTCGCTGCTTACCCAAGAGGCAGAAGCGGTTATACTCCAAGGATCAGAGGAAAGCCCGCCTGACGTTTGCGAAGAAGGTCCTGAGGATGACTTCGGCGGAGCTGAACACGGCTTTGGCATGCGCCATGGGCGGCGTCATCCTCGATGCCCCCGAAGGACGAGACCGAGCGGATGAACTTCTGCAGGCACGGGGAAGAGTACATGTGGCGAAAGAACACGGAGGCATTCACCCCGAAGCTCTCTGGCGACGACGAGTACGGTGGCCAGGCCCCACTGGTTCGGGCAGTGCCCATGTGGGCCGGCTGCGCCGCGGGCGGGCTGTCCATTGTCGCGTTCCACCCCACGAAGAAGCTCTGCGGCGAGGACTGGGCGAAGATCGTGAACCGGGGCGACCTCGTGAAGGCCGTGAAGTCGGTGAACCCGAAGAGGAAGAAGGGCCCGTGGTCCGTCCTCTGCGACAACGAGTCTTTCTTGCGGGGGAAGGTCAGCAACGCCGCGGTGAAGGCGGCGGGGGTTAAGCTGTGGAAGATGCCAGCAAAGTCCCCAGACTTGAACCCCGCAGAGCGGTGCTGGTCTTGGCTGCGTCGGAAGCTGCGGCTCATGGACTTGGGCGACGCCGTGAAGAAGCGGCCCGTGCTGGGGAAGACGGCGTACAGGGCGCGGGTTCGGAGCGTCGTGAAGAGCAAGAAGGCACAGTCCGTGGGGGCGGCGCAGGCGAAGCTGATGAAGCGCGTCTGCAGGGAAGTGGTGCGCAAGAAGGGCGCGGCCACGGGCTTCTGAGCGGGCCAAGCCCCCGGGCCGTATTGGCGCGTTCACAGGTGGACAACTCATCAGCGTCGGCCGTTTGCCGCGCGGGTGAGCACTCCATCTGCCCTGGCCGTTGGCCGTGCAGGTGAGAAAAGTCCGCAGGGCAAAATGGGTTCTCGCCGCCGCCAATCATCATCGTCATCTCCATCATCTTTGCAGCCGCTTTGGCTCAAGACCTTAGCAAGGATTTGCTCTGCTGTTGGTCATGGGGTTGACTGGCGCAGTGCAAGCCCGGAGGGCTTTGGTGAAGTTGCTCCTCACGGTTGCTGCGGCGTACTCGGTTGTGGTTCGCCTCCACAGGGACTCCCAGGACAGCGAGGTGATCGCAGCCTTTCGAAAGGTGCTCCGCAAGGCGCACCCGGACAAGGGCGGGGCAGACGAGCACGCGAAGCAGCTGAACGCCGCGAAGGAGCGTTGGGACCAGGCCAAGAAACCGAGGGGCCGCCCGAAACGCGCAGAGCAGCCCGAGGCGCCTGCAGGGGCGGCCGCTGCTGACGGCGCGCCTGGCGAAACCTTCCAGGATCTGATCGCCCGGGAGGTCTCCAAGAAAGCCTACCGCATCCAGTCCGCGGGCGTGCTGCTCACGTACTTCGGGGTGCAGGGCCTGCCGCAGTGGCGGCAGTTTCTGGCGCACGTGCGCTCGAAGCAGAAGGCTTGGAAGGTGCGGTACTGGTGCGCGACGCTGGAGCGGACGAAGACGGGGCGTCTGCACGTCCACCTCATGCTGCAGTTCACGCAACCTGTGGACAGGACGAGCCGCAGCTTCGCCTTCAAGGGGTGGACGGGCCCGAGAGCAGACGCGAACGACTTGCTAGGCGGTGGCTTTTGTCGGAAACGGCTGCAGGACAGCCTCAACAGGGGCATGTTCTATTGCTGGGCAGATAAGTTGGGCACGGTCAGGGACGAGGAAGGCCGGCAGTGCACGGGCGGCAACTACGAGCCCGCCTGGACGGACGCAGCTTGCACCTACACCGTGAAGAGCCGGTGGGCGCAGGACTTGTGGCAGGCGTACAAGCTCTCGCACGGCACCTACGACGGTTACCTCTACAAGACACGGGACGGGGTCTTAGCGAAAAAGAGGAACCCTGACGCTTGCAGAGAGCGAGAGGCACGGGACAAGCAGACAGCGCAGATCGAGGCAAGGACCAAGAGGCTCCGCGGGAACAAGGACCTCTTCCCGGGCTTCCCCACGGTGCCCGACGCTGTGGCGTGGCTAGAACAGTTCAAGGCCCGTTGCGGCGCGCAAGCCAGACAGTACCACTGCCGCCCGCCCTTCTGCGGGCAGCTGCGGCGCCTTCCGGGGCGTCTTCGGCGCGACCGTGGAAGGGGCGGGGGTAAGGGCGTTGTCCAGAGTTTGCGCTGGCGCGCCCACAGGTGGACAACTCACGGTGCCCAGTCTTGGTGGTCCTCGGCAGGTCGCACACAGGGAAGACGGAATGGGCCCAGACCTTGTTCCAGAACCTTTTGGTGGTGAAGGTGGGCAAGCTCGAACATTTCCCAGAGTCGATGAGGGCCTTCGACAGGGAGAAGCACGACGAGCTGGTCCTCGACGACCTGAGGGACTTGCAGTTCTTGGTGGGCCACCAGGACAAGGTCCAAGGCAAGTACAACTCGCCCGTCGAATTTGCTTCCACTCCGGGCGGCGAGTTGGCCTACTGGAAGGACTTGTTCGCAGTTCCCGTGGTCGCCACCTGCAACTACACCACGAAGAACCTCGGGTTCCTGGACACCGACGACTTCTTGGCGAACCCAGGGAACCGCACGCTGGTGCACTTCCCGCCTAACACGCAGCCAGACCAGCCACCGCCCGCACCTCCACCCGCACCGACCCGGAGCCTTAGGTGCCGCACTGAGGCGCCGCCGCACCAGCCGCCAGCCGCGCTTTGACTCTCAGGGGTTGCACGAGAGAAAAGGCTTGCGCACCAGGTCGACTCCTGGATTTCTGGGCACAGTTGTGGGGGGGGCTCATGTTCTAGGAGGAACTTTGTTCGTCTGTAGGCACAACCCGCCTGGTGAGAGAGGTACCAGAAAATCGTATTTTCCCGTAGGAAAACTGCAATTCTACGTATGGGGGCTGATGCAGAAGCAGAGTGCGAGCGACGTCCAGTGATACAATTCCGTGGACTGTGCCGCGCCGTGCCGCGCCGTGCCGTGCCGTGCCGTGCAGGTTCGTGCTGCGACGTACCGTGCCGTGCCGTGCTGCGCCGTGCCGCGCGGCGCCGTGCCGTGCCGTGCCGTGCCGTGCCGTGCCGTGCCGTTACGCGCGGCGCCGCGCCGCGCCGCGTGCCGGGCCGCGCTGCGCCGTGCCTTGCGAGTGCCGCGCGGCGTCGCGCCGCGCCGTGCCGCGTCGTGCCGTGCCGCGCAGTGCCGTGCGGCGCCGTGCCGTGCTATGCCATCCCGTGCCGCGCCGCGCCGCGCCGTGCCGTGCGGCGCCGTGCAGTGCTTGGCCTTGCCGCGCCGTGCCGCGCCGCGCCGTGCCGCGCCGCGCCGTGGCGTGCCGCGCAGTGCCGCGCCCGCGCCGTGCCGCGCCGCGGCCCCGCGCGGGGCCGCGCGGCGACGCGTCGCCGCCTCGCGGCCCTCTTCATCTCCATTGCCATTGCCGCAGCTTCCCAGGCTCAAGCCTTCCTGCCGCGCGGGCCACTGCGCGCGCGGGAGACGCGCCCCAGATGCCAGTCGTCAGCGAGATGCGGCATCCCAAGGGCTTCAGCTTCCAGCAGGAGCGCAGGATCGTACTTCTCCGCGAGGCCACCCAGAGCGACGGCAGCCACATGGAGTGGTCGGAGATCGCGAAGAAGGTGAAGAACCTCTTGGGCAAGAGGCCACGACCACGACACGTGGCGAACACGTGCCGCCGGGCCACGGCGCGCCGCGGGCCCCTCAAGTACGATTACAAAAAGTGCGGCAAGAAGCCGGACAAGGTGACAAAGGAGGTGGAGCGTTTCTTGGTGAAGAAGCTGAAGGAGTTGCGATGCCGCACCGCATGCACGTCGACTACGTTGCAATTGCTTTTGGCTTCCGAAATGAAAGTCAAGGTTACGGTGCGCTACGTGCGCAAGGTCCTCTCGAAGAAAGGCTTTCGCTGGTTACCCAAGAGGCAGAAGCGGTTATACTCCAAGGATCAGAGGAAAGCCCGCCTGACGTTTGCGAAGAAGGTCCTGAGGATGACTTCGGCGGAGCTGAACACGGCTTTGGCATGCGCCATGGACGGCGTCATCCTTGCGATGCCCCCGAAGGACGAGACCGAGCGGATGAACTTCAGCAGGCACGGGGAAGAGTACATGTGGCGAAAGAACACGGAGGCATTCACCCCGAAGCTCTCTGGCGACGACGAGTACGGTGGCCAGGCCCCACTGGCTCGGGCAGTGCCCATGTGGGCCGGCTGCGCCGCGGGCGGGCTATCCATTGTCGCGTTCCACCCCACGAAGAAGCTCTGCGGCGAGGACTGGGCGAAGATCGTGAACCGGGGCGACCTCGTGAAGGCCGTGAAGTCGGTGAACCCGAAGAGGAAGAAGGGCCCGTGGTCCGTCCTCTGCGACAGCGAGTCTTTCTTGCGGGCGAAGGTCAGCAACGCCGCGGTGAAGGCGGCCGGGATGGTGTTCTTGTCGATGCTGCAGATGTCCCCCTTGTCCCCGATGAAAACTTGCCCCCCTCGTAGTAATTCTCGTGCACGTGCCGGACGGCGCTCTCTAGGTTGGGGTCGGAGTCGAATGAATAGCTCACCACTTTGGCCCCCAGCTGAGAGAGCGCCACAGACGCTGTCTCGATCCCGCAGCAAAGAGAGAGAACAGTAACCTTGCGATCTGCCAATCTAGCTGCCATGGGTTGCGCCGCCTCCAACCATGTATCAGCAATCACCGAAACACTGCGTTTTTTTTTTTTTACTGTGCCCTGGCATGGCACGGGGACGAATGAAGTCTCAGCTTGAACCTTCACTGAGGCTGGTCCGAAACCGTCGGCTGGGGGTTCAATCGGTGACAAAAGCATGTGAGATGCAAGGGTTGTACTTCGAATTGCTTAGACACTATGTTGCGTGCGTTTCCAGTTCCCAATTCGCTTAGACACTATTGCGTGACTTACTCAAACACTATTGCTTAGACGCGATTGTTTAGACATTATTGCCTAGGTACTCGGCTGGGCGCCCCTGAATCCCATCGTTCATTCCCATCGTCGCCCCCCCTCCCGTACCCCGCGCATGGGCTCTTTAGGGTATTATGCCGCAGCGGTGTCATTTACGTTTCTGGGTCTGCTGGGGCTCCGTCGTGGCCCTGGCTGGGTCTCCTTTGGGAGCTCTGCCCTCAGCGCGCCCTCTCCCGAGGTGCGCTCCGAGAAACCGGAAGAGACGGAGCGCAGAGGAATGGCATAGGGAGGAGCGAAGGAGGATAGAGGGGAGGGGGGAGGGAGTGCACAGTTGGGTAGAAAAAATGAGGGTAGCAGAGGTGGCACATTGAAGTTGGACTGAGCTCCTCTAGCCCCCTCGCGGGGCTGTCGGGCTGCTTCCGCGGCCAGCTACTGGGCGGCGGCCAAGTCCGACGCCCCATGCAGAGGCGAGTCGCACATCCGATGCCCAGAGAGATCTGATTTGGCGGCAGGAAGGGGAAGAATGAGCAGGAGAAGGAAGAGGGCGAATTGAGTGGTAATTAGGGAAGAAGAGGATGAGGATAGTGTTTCAGATGAGGAGTGTGCCCTTCGTGACACGAGTATGTGATTCACTCGGCTGCGTGCTCAAGTGCTAGCAGCGTGCCACTGCGCCTGAGTCGCAGTGGTCTTTCTCCTCCTGCTCCTCCTCCTTCCACTGGCCTTCGTCGCTGTCGTCGTTGCATCGTGCTACTCCTCATCCATCTCCTCCTCATCGTCATCCTCCCCGCAGGCCCCATCCCATCACAGGCATTGCCAATGCCCTTGACAAGGATATCAAGAGAACGCAAATGACGAATTGTTCTCCACGTACGGGAGAATGCGAAGGCGTGCAAAAATCGCCTTGTCCCAGCGTCTCCTATGAGCAGCCTGGGCAATGCACTTAATGATATGATTTAAAGATTCGTCCAGAAAGCACGAATGGTATCTAGGATTCCCAGAAACTGGTATCTTTAATGTCATGTGTACTGCTTGGTGGATTTTAGGAATCACTTTTGCATTGGCCAATCTGAGTAGATTGACGTACCTGAGAATCAATTCGACTAGTTGTCGGCATTGCAGCCTCGGGACGATCCTGGGAGCTGTTTTCATGATGCACATGTACTCACATAAAGTCTTCCCCGCCGCGAGAAACACGTCACCCTGCCTCACTTGGCCGCTGAACCTCCCGAGAACATCCACTGCCCAGGGCAATAGGGTTCCAGTTTCTGCTGCTTTCGCTTTGAACGTTTGCCTCTCTTGGCTGCCTAACATGGTTTGCGTTAGCACGGCCAGCCGATCGCACACCTTGATACCTTGTCGCTGATACCACCCCACCATATCATTGTACACCAACTTGCAGCACTGATCTATCCTAACCTGCATCGGCCCCACAACACCCCATACATTGCTGCCTATGAGTAGCCAGATCACCTGCGCAATGAATGACTGAATGACACCCAAATGGAGGCAGTGCAACGTGTCGATCATGAGGTGTTCTTGGGGCTCGAGGCCCGTGGACGGGCAGAATATTGGGTTTCTCTTTAAACAACCATTTAACCTCCTGTGTAAATGATCGCGCCTGTCCCTCCAGAAAACAACCGAAAATGGCACTGGCGTGTCAATGAAACGAGCGATGTCAGGAAGCTCTGCGCTGGGATCGAGCCTGTCGTGGGCCCGTAGGTGCAGCGACGGCGCATCGCTTGCCAATATCATGCCCTCTCGCAGTCTGGCGTCGGCTCGCTTGTCCCAATGAAGCCCGCCCTCTCCTAGTATCTTCAAACGGACGGTGTCGTCAAAAATCAACACCTCTATTTCGCACTGTGCACAATCAACATCATATGCAACAGCATTCCCCCAAGCGTGCCCTGCAACTGAGACTCTTGCCATATCATAACCGCTTGGCCCACGTAGGTGCCACCGCGGGCGTGCCATCCACGTTCCTTCTCCACATCACCCCCCTGCCCCCCTCCCCTTCACCATCCCCCTCTCGGTTTTCCGCGCGCCCCCCGTCTTCAGTTATGCCCCTCGTTGTCGCCCCGCCCTCCTTTGCTTTCCGTTGAGCGGGGCAGGGGGGAGGTGGCGCGTCGGACGAGGGCGGGGCGAGCAGCGAGAAGGAGGAGAGAGGGGGAGCAGGGGAGATGGGATACCAAACATATTGGACGCATCTTATCCCTCCCCAAGTTGCCCTGCCCCCCCCCTCCCCTCTTGTGTTCGGGCGGGTGATTTCATCAGATGCATCGTATAGGTTGGGCTTCTGACACGCGCACCAAATGCATGGCTTGTTAAATGACTGCCAGTTCTGAAATCCGAACGTGCTGCAGTGTTCCATCCAATCCCCTTTGATTTCTATTGGAACAAATCGTGCTGGGAGACGCTCTGGAAGCGATGCGAACGGGTCTCCTGGAGCATATTCGGATCCGTCCCAACGTTTGTTTGGTCGTATTCCCCGAATCCCTGCTTCCAAACACCATCTGAGAAATTGCATAATGGGGAACATAGTGCACCACCCCTTGCAGCCGCATTTGCATTGTTCCCTTTTTGATATACAACATATTGCATGCCGTTTTCCAGACGCGAGATTATTTGCAGTGAAATTTATCAAGCTGTCCTGTTTGCCTACTTGCGTGGCTCTTGTGTACCTCACCCCATCGCAGTAAAGTGCGATGGGAAACACTGGCCTCGCATCCCCTGGAATATGTCGATGGCGGTGGTCTTCAAATGCCTTTTGCCAGACAGCAGCCCTGGCAGTGCGGATGATATGGCCTTCGTCTAATCCATCGAGCTCGAGCTCACTAGCCTCGCGATGGCAGACCGAAAACGCTCTTGATGGGCGCGGAGGGGCGGCGAAGGAAGTAAACGGAGAATGGGCATGGCGAGAAGCCAGGAGGGAACGGAAGGGGGCTCTGAGAGGTGATGGGGGGACACTGGGGAGCCATGTGTTTTCGGTCTGCCCTCTACGCCATACATTCGTGCACTGGCGCCATCAGGACCTTTTTCTCCTTTTTGGTACAGCATAACTGTGTTGCCACCCCTCGCTCGACCACTCCTCCCCCAAGGCGACCTCTCAGTCGCTGTCGCTTCCATATCTTTTCGAGCCGAGCCAGGCGCTTCGACGAGATAATTTTATGCACGCAGAGTTTCTTACCCATTGTCCCCCCGCTTGCCCCCGATGACCATTGGAAGGGCAACTTGTCGTAGTGTAACGTTGCTGGAGATGGGGAGGACACGGTCCAAGTGTTTCTGGAAATTGCCTGTCGACGAGGTTGGGTCCTTCGAGAGCCGAGCGATGCCTATCCCCTTCGCCCCTGCTTTCACAGCAAGGTAAGCAATAGAGCAGATTGCTTTCGCCGACAACCGTCCTCGCGAATACAGTGTGAGAAGTTCTTGCTCAAGTAATCGACCGTGCTCCTCCTGTGATTCTATGTCCTCGCGCAGGTTCTCTCTCAACGTCGCGTTCTCCCACCGACGAGCCGAGAGCGGGTCCAGATCCCATCCACGAGAGGTCATTCTAAATTGGATTCAATATCCAGTCAATCGCCGAGCATCGCTCTGACCTTGATCCAGGATGTGCTGGAGGATTCGGACGTCAGAGGCAGAGGGCTAGCATGATTGACGAGCGAGGCATAATGATAGGTCCGAGAGGAGGAAAATGATCACGGGAACGAGCCAAAACCAAGCGAGCAAGCCTGGCACACTGGGTTTGGGGCAGGGGTTAGATTGGAGAGGGTGCAGCTCGGAGGGCTGTGATTTAGGGTGGGGAGGGGCTTGCTGCTGCATTTTGTCACCCCGAAAGCGCATGCCAAATTCACCGCACATTCACCGGATATTCACCGGAATTTCACCGGATATTCACCACCCTGTTTGTGTTTAAAACAATATGTAATCTGAAATTCACCGCAAAATCATTTGATATTCATTGGATTTCTACCGGATATTCACCGCCCCCGTTCGCGAGCACTCACCGCCTCTCCTCCGAGGCATGTCAACTAGGCAGAGGCCGTAAATTGCCCATATCAGCCGCGAAAGCGGTCTCTCACTGAAAAACAACCGAGCTTTCCAGGCCTTAAACTTAGAGTTGCAAGCTGCGCGCGCCGAATCTTCCACTCGAGCGCTGCCGTCGCGACAGAGAGGAAATTGCCAGGAGAGATACTTGCCCGAACATCGTTCGCCTGAGCTCGGAACCCAGGTCGATCTAGGATTCAAATTAAGGCAATCAGCGTGACCCAGCCCAGGTCGAAACAGAAATGCAGGGAGCGCATCGGACTCGATGCATGAGTTCCCCCTTTCAAAAGCTGTTGCTTCTTTGCCACCCCCCCCTGGCAGCCTGCAGCTGGAACGAAACGCGTGAAAGAGATCGATCGCACATAAGACAATAGAGTAACTACACAGTACGCAAAAAAAAGCTGCAGATCGGCCACTCGTGCAATGTTCGTGTCAGTATCCCGTGCCCTACCTCTTTTCATCTCCTCACATTCCCCCCCGTGCCTTATCCCCCCCATTTTCTCCCCTATCCCCCCTATATGTCATGATGGGCCAATCCCTTCCCATATCGACTTGACGCGCTGCTCTGCTCAGGCCTGGCATTTCTCTGTCATATCC